CCTGACCACATTTCCAAAGAGATGAGATGAAGTCTCATCTTCTCCTCACTTCCAAGGAGCATTCTGACTGTCCTTCTCCCAACACAGATTTACTTGTTCTTCTGGAAGGCACAGAGGTTAGGATTTATGATTAGATCAGAAGATCGAGGATGAATACATAGTATGAGAATCATGAACTAGCTCAGTTGATACACACAAGGGGACTTCACAAAGTCTGTGGGAAAATGGCATGGAAAGATAACGGAAAATTTCCACAAACATTCTGAAGCCCTAGTATTTTACACATTGAATAAGGAAGACCGAGAAGAATCAGTGCATTTGAATTAGGGTGCTGGCAGTGAATATTGAAAAGTCCCACGGACATCCAGGGGAACACACAGATCTCCCTTAGACAAAGCACAACCAGGGTGCTCCTTTCTCCCTAAGAAGCCTCCCTAAGAAGCGAGCACTGTGAGACTTCATCTCTGGGCATGGGATCAGGAGCAGCCAATCCCTGGGAAAGGACTTCATGCTTGGTAAAGCAGATCAAGGGAAAAGGACGAAGGCCTTCAGGGAGGTGGATTGGCAAAGTGTCTGCAACCATGGACTTCAACAGAGCAACCATTGTGAGGCTGGCGCAGGGCCGGGCAGCACTGGGTTCTGCTGCGCACAGCGTAGCTCTGAGTCTGAACCACCTCCCTGGCACCGAACACCAAGTATGTTGGAGGAGCACAACTCAGTGTCTAACAGGCTTCAAGGCCATAAGAGGCTGAGGGTCCACTCAGTTAAATACTTTGGCCAAAGTCCCCTGAAGTCCAAGTCTTTTTTTTTTAATGCCATATCCTAATTCTAATGAATTGGGGGAAAAGCCGGTATGGGTAGAAGAGGGAGAAAGTGCCATTGAACAGAATGCCTTAAGGCAGCTTGATGGCCTGCTACCAAGTAGTGTGCACCTAGCCCTGGCCTAGGCTGGGGAGGGGCGTGTGTGGTGTGGGCACAAGGATTGTCATGGAGCTAAACAAAAATCCATTTTCCCAAGCACTTTAAATAGAGCTACACGAGGGTAGGGATTACGAGGTGTTTGTTGGTCCAAGACATGGTGACTTGATCAGACTTTAGCCTGCCTGGATGGCAGCAGCAGGTTTAATAGCCACCAAATTAATTGGGGGTTGGCTCCAGTGTCCGTTTCTCCTACTTGTTTCTCATGCCCAAACCAAAGCCAGCCAAACCCACCCACCACCAAGTTGATCCTGACTCATAGTCATTATTAGACCGGGTTGACTAGAGAAACAAATCCCAAAGCTCTCATATATGTATAATAAAGAGCTTTAAATCAAAGAGGAACTGTATATTGTTGTATGTTAAGAAAACATTCCAGTCCAGTCCAGATCAAGTCCATGAGCCGGATATTAGCCCATACGTCCACTACTAGTCCATAAGCCCCTCTTCAGACTTGTGCAGCATGTGCAATGATGCAAAATGCAGGAAGATCACAGGCCGGTGGGTGCAAAGTCTTGTGGATCCAGGGGCAGTGGAAGCATCTCCAGGGCTCTCGCAGGTCTCAGCATGGCTCTGCACGGCTTGTCAACAGGAAGGTAAAAGGAGAGAGAGAGTGTGTATAGCCCGCCTCCAGGGAGAAAGAGGAAGAGGCCGGCCTCAGAGAGCCATTGATCTCGGTTGCCCTCCAATCAAGATGCGACCTGATTGACAGGGTAAACTCCGCCCACATGTTCCTACGGGAGCCATGTTGGCACAAAGCCCTAAGTATCACCACCACCCCATAAAACAGAGGATAACTGCTGCTTAGGGCTTCTGAGGCCATACATCTTTACAGCAGCAAGACAGTCTCGCGTTTTTCTTGGGGCAACTGGCGGGTTTGAATTACCCACCTCTCCATGAGTTACCCAACACTTACTGCACCACCAGGGTTCCCTGTCTCATGCCCAGAAGTCTTAAATGTAAAGATTTTTAAACTTGGGGACATTCATACCTCCTGATGGCCATGTGTAGATGGTTTCATTGTTGTCGCTGGAGCCAGAGAGAGCCCATTATGTCTCACGTGTGATTCCACATGACAGCATACAACTGGAAATAACCTCATAGGAGTCTTCCCCAGGCTTCATCTTTCAGGTGCAGTATGCTCTGATGACAGAGTAGCTACGTATTGACCTGCTTCACTGCAGTCCAAACCACCAGCCGCGCGTGCCATGGGGAAAAGACAGGCTCGCTACAGATCCTGTAAAACAGTGGTTCTCAACCTTAATGCCATGACCCTTTCATATAGTTCCTCATGTTGTGGTGACCCCCCCAACCATAACATTATTTTCGTTGCTACTTCATCACTGTCATTTTGCTACTGTTATGAATCGGGTGACCCCTGTGAAAGGGCATTCGACCCTCAAAGGGGTTGCAACCCACAGATTGAGAACCATAAGACTTACAGGGCATGAGGGAAGGAGGGAGGGAAGGAGAGAGGGGAAGGGGGAAAACGAGAAACTGATACCAAGGGCTCAAGTAGAAAGAAAATGTTTTGAGAATGATGATGGCAACAAATGTACAAATGTGCTTGACACGATGGATGGATGCATGGATGGATGGATGGATGGATGGATGGATGGATGGATGGATGGCAATAAGAGTTGTACGAGCCCCCAATCAAATGATTTTTAAAAAAAGACTTACAGGGCAGTCAGTTCTCCCCTGATGTGACAGTTACATAATCTTGAACTTGTCAACTTGAAGAAGGGATGGAGTCTAACCTGTCAATCAGGTCACAGCTTGATGACCTCATTTGGAGGTGTGGCAGAGATAAATAGCTCACTGGAGGCCAGATACACTCTCTCCCTGTGAGACATTCCTGTTGACAAGCCACATGGAGCTAAGCTGATGGACCTAGAGCCCTGGAGCTGGAGGAGCCAGGTGGAGACCCACGCCAACGCTGAGATGCTTCCACTGCCCACTGGATCCACAAGACTTTCCACCCACTGGCCTGTGATCTTCCTGCATTTGACGTCATTGCATGTATTTCATGAGTCTGAAGAGGAATGTATTGACTGATATCAGACATCTGGGCTAATGTTGAACTTATGGACTTGAACTAGACAGGGCTGGGATGTTTTCTTGATGTGCAATTGTTCTTTGATATAAAGTTCTCTCTTACACACATGTGAGTGTCTGTGAATTTGTTTCTCTAGTCAACCCGGGTGGCCGTGAGTCGGAATCGACTCAGTGGCGGTGAGCTTGGTCTCTAGTTTTCCCGGGAGCGGGTCTCCGTCTTTCTGCAGCAGCACAGTTATTATGGGGTGCCTTTCAACTGCCAACCTTTGGTTCTCAGCAGAGCCCCTAGCTGTCTGCCTCCACATCTTTGAGATCCCCCATGCCTCCAGCCCCAGCTCCCTCTCACCAGATCCCTTCTCCTTTGTACACTTTGTTGCCACGTAAACTAGCCCCTTGTTTGGACTTCTTGGGTCACTCACCTCACAGTGGCCTGCCCCGCAGAGTTTTCTTCCTGAGTGGTGGGTGACTGGTCAGTCATTCCCGGGTAATGTGTAGGCCATTCCCATCTGGACGCTGCAAGTGAAAGGTGGCAGGGGTCATTGGCCTGTGCCAGTGTGCACTTTGTGTGCATCGCCCAGATCTCAAAGCCTTCTGCATGCAGCGCTGCTGTAAGGGAGCCTGGCCACCCTCCGCACCAGCTGCTTCATTCCTCCCTGCCATATCTGAATGCCGCTTCCCCAGCATCCTTAGTAAGTACCCAGCACAGTCATTCTAATGCTCCTCTGCTGAAGGCTGAGGCTCAGACCCATCCTGTGCTCATCCCTGTTCTTTTGGGATTAAACACACAGACTTTGGGGCAAACTTCATGTTTGGGGGTGTGGTGCTACTCCTTGTGTGTACAGAGAGCTTTTGAAATGGCATCGAGACTGTGTCTGTTTCTGTGTTATCCGGGTTGACTAGAGAAACATTCATAGACACTCGTGTGTCTAGGAAAGAGCTTTATACACAGGAGCAATTAAATATTGAGAAAACATCCCACCCCAGTCCAGATCAAGTCTATAAGTCCAATATTAGCCCATCTGTCTGAAATCAATCTATGAAGTCCTCTTCAGATTCACAAACACATGCAATGACGCCGAGTGCAGGAGGATCACGGGTGGGAAGATTTGTCGATCCAGTGGCATTGTAAGCATCTCAGCGCCGGCAGGGGTCTCCATGTGGCTTTCTTATTCAGTGTCCAGCTTTCACATGCATATGAGGACATTGAAAAGATATGGCTCGGGCCAGGCACACCTTGGTCCTCCAAGTGACATCCTTGCTCTTCGATACTTTATAGAGATCTTGCCCAGGGGATCCACTCAGTGCAGTTGTCATTTGCTCTCTTGGCTGCTGGTTCCATGAGCAATGATTGTGGGTCCAAGCGAGACAAAGCTCTTGACAATGCTGATTTTGTCTCGTTTATCATGATGTTACCTATTGGCCCACCTGTGAGGGCTTTTGTGTTCTTGAAGGTGTTGTCCGTATTGAAGGCTGCAGTCCTTGCCTAGCAGTCACCTTCTCTATTTGCCCAGCATACAGATCGAATAAGTATGGTGAGCAGATACAAGCCTGATGCCCGTCTTTTAGGGTTTTAATCCATGCAGTGTTGTCTTGCTCTGTTCTTAATCTGTGTACAGGTGTGTGTAGACTTAGAGGGTGTTTGTAATGCAGTGAGCTAGGATGCATTGTCCACGGAGAGCACTCCCGAGTGATAACCAGCCGGCTGTCTGCCCCTTCCTCCGGATCACAGAGAGGGGTACTTGCTTGTTTGTAAGCCCTTTTCTAGAATTTCTCCCTACCCCCACGTCACTTCAGATCTTGTGTGGGCCTGTGCGGAAGGGCAGAGAATGGACATGTGATCCCTTCACACTGATCCCTGAAAGAGGGGGTGCTTCTGATCAGGTGTGGGTCCTTGTCAGCAGCCCCCAGGAAGGCAGCAGAGGCTCTCCAGAGGCAGCCACTGAGCAGAGCCCTTTCCCTTCCAGAGATGAGAAGAACCAGTCCATCATCGTCAGCGGGGAGTCTGGAGCTGGGAAGACGGTGTCCGCCAAGTACGCCATGCGCTACTTCGCCACGGTCGGTGGCTCAGCCAGTGACACCAATATTGAAGAGAGGGTCTTGGCATCCAGTCCCATCATGGAGGTAAGGCCCCCCAGAGCCCCCGACTGTCCCCAGCATCGTGGTGCAGCCCCTGCTTCCCCTCACTTTATCCTGCATGCCTGCTTTCTGTCATCTGGCTGCAAACACATATTCAAGCATGGTTTTATCCCCTTCAGTGGGACACTTAGTTGGGAGGACCCTAAGGCCCGAGTTGCAAGGCCCGACTTTGGCCTCTGGGCAGAGGATGTTCATGACCATGGCCTGACTTCCCTTGGACCGTCTTCCATGCCTGTAGTGAGGCAGCTAAGAGATCACCCCACAATTAGCATCATGTTTCTTCCCCTAACGTGAAGGTACCGTGACAGGGACCTTAAGAGACTGCTTCCTTGGGAGAGGGTGTAGTCCTTCCCCAGGGCAGGGCCAGAGCAACCAGTCGTCAGCTGTCCCTTGATTAAGGCTCACCTTGTGTTGGCCATAGCCCTCCAGAGAGCCACAGAACTGGGGCTTTCCCAGACATGGACGCTGCTGGACTCAGAGCCTCTGAGAAGCCGGGTGTGCTAGGCACCGGGTTTTCTGCCCCAGGCAATGAGCAGGCCTCCCCACCCCCAACAGCTCTTTCTAACCCCACCCGGTTTGTTCCTGGTTGCAGCTCCTCTGTGATTATCTCCGAGCATCTTCTCCAAGGAACTAGTACCAGATCAAGGGACAGCCCCTAGAATGGCAAAATCTACATCAGACAGAGTGAGCCTTAGGGATTCACGCAGTATTTGCTACGGGACCCATTTGCACAAGCCAGAAAATTTTAAATGTCTTAAGCCCAAACCGCTGAAACACTTATCTAATGACATCTTGTAAGCTTAGGCTGCTTTGTGCACAAACCCCTTTGAAAGACGTTTGCATCTGGACTGCCTCTCGTGGATTTTCCTGTGTGGGTGTTGACCTTAGTTAGCTCAGTGCTGCCGTAACAGAAATGCACTTAGAGGGGCTGGCCAACAGAGGTTGATTTCCTCGTGTGGCGAGGCTAGGTGGCTGAAGTCAGGGTGCTGGCCCTCGGGGCAGGCTTTCTCTCCCTGGTGGCTCTGGATGAAGGTTCTTTGTCCCATGCTGAGCTTCCGCTCCTGCGTCTTCTTGACGTGGCTCTCCCTGGCGCCCATGTCTGCTTCTCTGGCTCGGTTGGTTAATCTCTCCTTTCTCAAGAGAGATTGATTGATGACACACCCGGGTCCTGTCCCCTTCATTTAGCAAAGACAGCCCGTTCCCAAGTGGGGTTATACTGCCAAGAATAGAAATGCCAAGCAGAGTAACCCCTCTGCCATGACCCCTTCCGGTGCCTGGTGACCCTGTGCGTAGACCTGCCCCTGTGGGTCTCTGTGGCTGTAGATGTCATGGAATCAGAAAGCCTCATCTTCCTCCTGAGGAGCAGCCGGTGGGTGCCAGCTGCTGACCCGGTACCTAGCAGTCCAACTTATAATGGACCCTGCCACCAGGGGCCCTACTGCAGGCATGGAGGTGAGGATGGTGGGGGCTGCTGGCCCACCTCTCCCTTGCCACAGTGTCCTGCCATCCTGCAGTCCACCAGCCCACCCAATAGCCCTGGACGCTGGGAGCAGGAGCCGGTTTTAGACCGTTGGTATTGCAAGCATCTTTATCCCATGTCTCTTGTATGTGTTTGGTCATGTGCAGATCGGCCATCCCTAAATTTCCATCTTGAGCAAAGTCTTTGTTCCATCACTAGAGATCAAATAGGTTTTTTTCCCTTCTCTGTTTTGTCCAGAATAACTCCTTGTTCTCTTTCCAAAAGCAATGACACGGTGTCTTTGAAATCTTTATTGCCTCAAAAACGAATTGATTTTTAAAACCTGCAGCAAAGCGGAGCAGCTGAAAAGTTGTTACGTTGGAGAGGCATTTGAGTCTCATTGCAGAAGGACTACAGCCAGCAAGAGCCCTGGATAGTGGGCTTAGAGCATTGCTGTCGAATGCGGGGGGGCGGGAGAGAGAGACCAGCGCAGCACAGGAAAACCTCAGAGGTTCTCCCGCTAGCCTGGGTCCCTGTCCAAGGAAGCCCATCAATACTTTGGAGGGTTATAACCAAAACAAAACCCAAACCCACTACCGTGGAGTTAATGCCAAGCACAGCAACCCTACAGGACAGGGCAGAACTGCCCCTGTGAGTTTCTGAGACAGCACCTCCTTACTGGGACATCGAAAGTGCTCATCTCTCCTCGGGGGAGCAGCTGGTGCTTTTGAACTGCTGACCTTGAACTTAGCAGCCCCGCGTGTACCCACTGTACCACGGGGTTCCTATAACCAACAGAAGGCAGGGTGGTGACCGACTGCGCTGCCCCTGGCCTGGGGAAAGACTGCACCTCCCCACCAAGCAATCTCTGTGGTCCTGCAGCCACCTCAGGATTTCCAGCCATCGCGGACATTGCCCAGGGAGAGCAGGTGTGCAGGTAGGCGGAGGAGGCGGAATTTCCAGTGGACCACGTGAAGTGGCAGTTGTACGGAGGGAAAGTGGCTCGAGGCTGGATTGGGATGATTACGCAGCAGCAGCAGCAGCAGCAACAGTGCTATAGACTGTTAGCTAAGCTGCATGACTGGAGCCTCCGAAGCAAGACACACTCAAGCACCACCTCCCAGAGAGTGAAACAAGAATCCACAGACCACGAAAGCATTGGCAGCCATCCATCTGGCGAGAACGTATAGAAAGCTCAGCCCCTCAACGCCACCCCCCCACCCCCCCAGCACCAAAGCCAAACAAACGCAAATTCACTGCCATCGATACCGACTGAGAGCAACCTTCCAGGGCACAGTCAGAGCTGCCCCTGTGGGTTTCCAAGGTGGCAGTCTCCCTCTTTCCCCCTCTAAGTAGCTGGTAGGTTTGAACTGCTGACACGGTGGTGAGCAGCCCAGTGAATGACCCACCCCACCCCCAGGGCACCACAGAACTGTGAGCAGCCCCATGTAAAAGAAACAGGCAACGGACATGAGCAGGCACTTCACCAGAGGAGATGCTCCGGTGGCCGGTCAATACATGAAGAGATGGACACAGCCATGAGCCATTAGAGGCAAATTGAAACAATGAACTATCTTCTCAGCCCAACAATAATGACAGTGATCAAAGGCAGGCTGACAGAGAC